TGATTGGCCTGATTTACCCAATAATTACTCCTTTATTATAAATAATAGAAAAAAATGGTTCAGGACTTTTCGACTCAGTTTTACTCCTTCTACCTGCCTACGAGAGATTGTACGGCAATTCTGGGACACCCTGTATATGTATATATAATAAAACGTTGCATAAAACAGTCAATTATCCTTAGAAAGCAACAAATTTGTATATATAAGTGATATTTTTCTTACAAAAAAATTAAAAATTTTCGAAAAAGCTTCTGTGTACTACAATTGTATATGACAAGAAATTGATTTTTTAACACTGGTTTGTATTTATTGTATTTTTGTGTATTAGTATAAAAAGAAAAAACGTATTTATGTGTATGAAGAGAAAAGATATTACGTTAAAATGTTTTGTTATTTTATCCTTGATAAATCGACATCTTTTTTATTTTGTTATATGGAATTATAACTGTGCAATATAATTAGCTCCCAAAATGAAATAAAATAGATCATATTACTTGTTTCTTTCTCGTGACAGGATGGTGTAGAATGCGATAGCTTTCTGTCGGAACTGTGATATACTACCTACAGATCTGCAGTCGGAAGAGATATTTTCTCTTTGTCGCTTTCACTTAACGCTTTACCAATTTCTATGCATTTTTATCTTATATAACTGGTACTGTGCTATATGCAGGTTAACATAATATTTGGTACCTACTGAATTATAAAAACTTACAAAAAGTAAAAAACTATATATAAATAAAATATAAAATATAAAATTTATAAATATATATAAGATTTTTTACGAGCCGATCGCAGAATGTTTGTGCAGAAATATGCATGTATATGTATATATATATACAGGGTGTCCCAGAATTGGTTTAACATCTCTCGTAGGCAGATAGAAGGAATAAAAATGAGTCGAAAAGTCCTATACTATTTTGCTAGATTCGCAATAGTTACTGAGATTTTAATTAACAAAGATCCGCGAATAAGCATGCATCGGGCTGTCTTACGCGCGCAAGACTGCCCAGTGCGNTTCGCGCGCTAACGGTGTTACCCATAGCGACATATGGGAGGAGCTAATATAACAGCATGTACTATAACATATACATATTAAAATGTAATTGTGCGAAGCGCGCCGGGCTGTCCTCCGCGCGTAAGACAGCCTGATGCACGCTTATTCGCGGATCTTTGTTAATTAAAATCTCAGTAACTATTGCGAATCTAGCAAAATAGTATAGGACTTTTCGACTCAGTTTTACTCCTTCTACCTGCCTACGAGAGATGTTAAACCAATTCTGAGACACCCTGTATATATGTATATATATGTGTGTGTGTGTGTGTGTGTGTGTGTGTGTGTACGTATATATCAGAAAAGGCGACGGCCCGGAAAGCCGGAGATTCCAGATTCCAGGTTCGACTCCTGGCTAAGGAGTTTTTTTTGCAATATTTTAAATTAGTACGGAGAGGTATTTGGGGTCTTTCATATGCGAGATGCAAATCTAGCATTCTATATGATTTGAAGAACCCAGTAAAAAATTTTTCATATATACTTATACACAAATTAGAATTATTATATCTAATTATCTAAATTTATTATAAAAACAGGAAATGTATAATGGCCATTTAAAGCAAAAACACTGGTGATAACGTGTGTATGATAGATGCATTACTTTATTCAAGCAGGTAACATATAGAACGTTTTCGGCCTTATATTAGGCCTTTATCAATATATATATAAATATGATGTTCTTGAATTAAAACTTATACAAGTCACATGATTACAATATAGAAACATTAAAATAACTGAGTAAACTAAACCTCAGTTACTTTAATGTTTCTATATTGTAATCATGTGACTTGTATAAGTTTTAATTCAAGAACATCATATTTATATATATATTGATAAAGGCCTAATATAAGGCCGAAAACGTTCTATATGTTACCTGCTTGAATAAAGTAATGCATCTATCATACACACGTTATCACCAGTGTTTTTGCTTCAAATGGCCATTATACATTTCCTGTTTTTATAAGAATTTATTGAAGCTTACTACACTCCTATTCTATCTAAATTTATATGCCGAATATGTCCATACAATTTTATACACGGAGAATTTCTTTTTTTAAGACAATGGCTTCAGAGATATTCCATATTAAATTACAAAATAACTCTATTAGTATCATGTTAGATACAAACAATTATATAAAACTATATTTTTACTATATTTTTAAAAAGTTTTTGATATATAATCATATATACTTATACACAAATTAAACTTATTATATCTAATTATGCAAATTTATATATATATATATATATACCGAATATGTCCATACAATTTTATACATGAAAAATTTTTTACTGGGCGATTGACTCTCGTAAAACCTTATATATATTTTGTAGTAATTTTCACGAAGCCTAAACAAATTTAATTGATAAAATTTACATTTGGAAAAATATATAAATTCTATATTCTGCGGAGTATATTTGGATAAAGTTCCGAAAACTTGAAACACCCGATTTTTCTGTCGATTGGTATACTACTGTATTTTGGTGCGCTGATTACGAATATGATAGTGAAAATCACCGACAAGGTCATTTTCAAGGTCAAAACTAAAAAATTATCGTTTTTTAAACATTATTTTGATAAATATTTATAGCACAAAAAAATGTTTTAAATAAAATTGTAGCTCTTGAAAAAATACATCATTTATGTCGTATGCATTTTTTGCATANTTTTATAAGAATTTATTGAAGCTTACTACACTCCTATTCTATCTAAATTTATATGCCGAATATGTCCATACAATTTTATACACGGAGAATTTCTTTTTTTAAGACAATGGCTTCAGAGATATTCCATATTAAATTACAAAATAACTCTATTAGTATCATGTTAGATACAAACAATTATATAAAACTATATTTTTACTATATTTTTAAAAAGTTTTTGATATATAATCATATATACTTATACACAAATTAAACTTATTATATCTAATTATGCAAATTTATATATATATATATATATACCGAATATGTCCATACAATTTTATACATGAAAAATTTTTTACTGGGCGATTGACTCTCGTAAAACCTTATATATATTTTGTAGTAATTTTCACGAAGCCTAAACAAATTTAATTGATAAAATTTACATTTGGAAAAATATATAAATTCTATATTCTGCGGAGTATATTTGGATAAAGTTCCGAAAACTTGAAACACCCGATTTTTCTGTCGATTGGTATACTACTGTATTTTGGTGCGCTGATTACGAATATGATAGTGAAAATCACCGACAAGGTCATTTTCAAGGTCAAAACTAAAAAATTATCGTTTTTTAAACATTATTTTGATAAATATTTATAGCACAAAAAAATGTTTTAAATAAAATTGTAGCTCTTGAAAAAATACATCATTTATGTCGTATGCATTTTTTGCATAGAGCCACCAGTTTTCGAAAAAAAATAAGATAATAGGTAAGAGAGTGGACTTGTGTGTGCGTGAAAGGGTAATTATGTAAAATAGGGGAGCCACCTCCGATTTCAATAATTTTTACATATGTTGTCAAGGTCATTGTCCCGAGCAATAATATGAAGGTTTTAGGCCGCGGTCGTGGTTTGTTTAGAAGTTACAGAGGAAAGAAGTCTACTGAACAATATGTAATTTTTGGACATCCTATATATGAATATGTGTTCTGCGTGTGTTTGGGCACATGTTTGTTTATACGCTTTTGTAGTTGTATCTTGAAAGGTCGTTTCATGGAAAATGCCTCTATGTTCGTGAAGAATATCTTTTTGATCATTATTCGGCCGAATTTGCATTTAAGAAAACGTTTGATTTTGATGAACGATTGGACGCTTTTTTTGAAATAATGTCTGTAACAGACATTATTTTTGATCTCACGTACATTTCGTTCGTGTTTCAAGCGTATAGGCAGGGGGGGCCTGCGCCCCCCTCGCAGGAGGAGTGGCTTCGCCCCTTCCCCTGCTCCCCCCTCGAAAATCAAGTCGTTATTTTGTGGAAAATAACGACTTGATTGGATGAAAAAGGATGTCCTAACCATTGTGGAAATTTTGCAAGAGGGAATGCAGAAAGAAGAGTTTAGGTTAGGTTAGGGTTAGGTTAGGTTTTTAGGGGGGGTGCAGGGGAACGCAGCCCCCCCTGCCTACACACTTGAAACACGAACGAAATGTACGTAGAACCGAAAAATAAGAATTCATTCATGAAACTTCTTCCTCTCATAACTTTTAAACAAACCACGTCCGCGGCCTAAAACCTTCATATTATTGCTCGGGACAATGACCTTGACAACATATGTAAAAATTATTGAAATCGGAGGTGGCTCCCCTATTTTACATAATTACCCTTTCACGCACACACAAGTCCACTCTCTTACCTATTATCTTATTTTTTTTCGAAAACTGGTGGCTCTATGCAAAAAATGCATACGACATAAATGATGTATTTTTTCAAGAGCTACAATTTTATTTAAAACATTTTTTTGTGCTATAAATATTTATCAAAATAATGTTTAAAAAACGATAATTTTTTAGTTTTGACCTTGAAAATGACCTTGTCGGTGATTTTCACTATCATATTCGTAATCAGCGCACCAAAATACAGTAGTATACCAATCGACAGAAAAATCGGGTGTTTCAAGTTTTCGGAACTGTACCCGTATATTTTATCTACAACTATACCACACACACACGCGCGCGCACGTTTATCACATTAGTCAGAATATCATCTTTCTTTCTCTCTTTTCCTTCTCTTTTTCTCTATGTGTCACAATGTATCATCGATTAAAAGAATAACATTTTTGACAGAAAATCATATAATATACGTATATATAATAATTTATCTCCGTTCAAAATATCATTTTTGTCAAGGTTTTTATCGCAATGTTTTAAACAATCCAACCAACGTTCTTATATCTTATATCATATACTACATTGTCTGTGCGATTATTCTTATACATGAATCTGTACTTTGAGCCGACAAGACGTTTTGTATATAGAATATTGTCCGTGTGATGAATAATTTAAAAATTATGTTTCTCCTATTCTCTTTCATATTATTCAGTGAATAATTAGTCATTGATTTATGATGACAAATTAATACTTGCAGAGTGCATTTATACAACGCATTTCTCACATAATCGTCTTCGTTATTTTTCTAAAAATTGTATATTATAGTTATTCAAATGGTTGATGTCATTAAAATGAGATATTGACAACGCATCGTTTTCCTGTGATATAAAGTAAGGTGACATTTTCCTAAAGTAAAGTAAAAAACGCGTTATAATATACGTTTGAAATCGCGTTAACATCTTGCTTTATTGCAAATTTTTGATATAATTCTACTGTAATTGCAAGATATTTATGTACTCAAATTTTTTTAAATATAACTCATTAACAATATCATCTGAGAGATAAAAAAAATGTACAAATATTGAAGTTGTGTTACAGAGAGAAAAGTCTATTTAATCAACTATATTTTTGCTTTATTTTGTTAATTTCTTACAAACCAATTGTAGTTTAAATGTTTCTTTTTTTCTAAAAGAAATCCGACATTATTCTTAGTTGAAAAAAGAGAAAACGCACACACATACACTATGATTTCAAATTTCAAGAAAAAAACTGTTGCTTGTTTTTCATGATGACAAATTTATAAAAAAAATGTTTATAAAAATCTTCCAAAATCTCTAGTAAAACAAAACTTCCAAACGTGAACGCGAAATAAAATATTTGTATTTCTCTAATTTTAAGGATGATACAATTCGAACAATTGTCTTGTTTTTATCTCAAAGATCTTATCTTAACTCGATAAAAATAATACATGTCGCTTCTCGCATTTGTTGGGATAAAAGTACTTGAAATCTAATGCCTTATGTTGACGTAGCACACACATCTCGTTGCTGATATTCACAATCAGTGAGTAGACTTTGTGCAGAACGGTCTCGATACGGTTAATCTCGGCATAAACATAAACTCTTCAGTAAATGTTTTATTTCATTAATAACATTACAAATATTTAATTGCAACAGAGCTCGAAAGAAAAAAATATTCTTATAATAAATAACATTACACAAAGATTTTTTATTTCATAACTTTAATTAAAAGTTATGCGAGTTTTTTGGTGAGTTTTGCTTATTACTTTCCTGTTTTACGTTTTTGAAGGAAAACAATGGCTCAGACGATCAATCAATTGACTGTCCCAGATAGTTCTAAATCACGTAGATATGAAACTTCTTCGCAAGAAACTGTACGGTAAGAAAATTTTCTTATCCATGTATAAAGTACAAAAAATCGCCGTTTAAGTAAATTTGTCTACTACTGTGTTTGGGAGTGTTATATTTCTGTTTGTATCAAAAAAAGGTTTGTAGAATAGAAAATATAGTCACCGAAAATTTTCTAAATTATGTTGAAAGAGAGGAGAAAATATTAGTATCGGAATGTCCAAAATTATGAAGTTTCACAGCACGTATATGAGTTAAATATTACTTTCTCAGCAAAATATGATTCCAGAGATACCTATTTAATATAATTTTCACAGGTAGAACATGCCTCCAACATTGCGCAAACTTAATAAATGAAATCAATTTTTAGTTATAGATAAAATTCATAGTTTTATTGCAAGTTTATTGCATTACATATCAAGAACTGATAAAAAATTTTTAACATATTAGCTCGATACGGAAGACTTGTACTTAACCCTTACTGCAAAACCTGTCAAAACAGACGATGATGATTAATAATGAAGGAATATACACAATACCATGGTGTAAGTATACTTACACCATGCATAATACTTATACAAAAGGCCGAAGCACAGATTTTTGCATAACGCATAAAACGCATAAAGGGCTTTCTACAATGAGATATTAGTAATAAATCAGAAGTCAGAAGCAAGAAATTGACCAATCACAGTCAAATCACAGAAGAATAATCGATTGTGATTACCCGGTAAAAAATTTTCCACGTATAAAATTGTATGGACATATTCGGTATATAAAAATTTGCATAATTAGATATAATAAGTTTAATTTGTGTATAAGTATATATGATTATATATCAAAAATTTTTTTAAAATATAATAAAAATATAGTTTTATATACTTTTTTTGTATCTAACATGATACTAATAAAGTTAATTTGCAATTTGGTCTGAAATATCTCTGAAGCCATTCTCTTAAAAAAAGAAATTCTCCGTGTATAAAATTGTATGGACATATTCGGCACACATACAAATTTGCATAATTAGATATAATTATTTTAATTTGTGTATAAGTATATATGAAAAATTTTTTACCGGGTAGTCAATTTCTTGCTTCTGACTTCTGATTTATTATTAATATCTCATTGTAGAAGGCCCTGTAGGGATGAAAACTAAAAGCTGGATTGATTGATTTTTTTATGTCTTAAGGGTCTTTTACAATAAAATATGAGTAATAAATCAGAAGTCAGAAGCAAGAAATTGACTAATCACAATCGAATATTCTTCTGTGATTTGACTGTGATTGGTCAATTTCTTGCTACTGACTTCTGATTTATTACTAATATCTTATTGTAGGAGGCCCTTAAAGTGTCTCGCACTTACCGTATCTCAATCTAAATTCTAAACAATTTGATTTATGCAGAACTCTGCTGTAATGAAATGAGAGTGAAATCAGAAGTGAAAAGAAAATTAATAGCGTACATCGTGGTTTATCAGCTTTAGAGTAAATTCAGAATATTTCCAATCGCGTGATTCTAATCGAGACTTCTTTGTGTCTTAAGATTGCGCAAAGAAACATAAATTTGATTTTTAAATTGCTAGTTAAAGAAATGTACGTCAATGTGCTAAAAAACGAAGAAAAATTTCTAGAACAAACGTATTAAAGGCTGAAGCACAGATTTTTGCATAATGCATGACGCATAAAACGTAAGAAAATCAACAAATCCAGCTTTTTGTTTTCATCCCTACTTCTTGTTCTAGAAAGCTTTGATTGGTTGATTCTTTTATATCTCATGCGTTATGCATTATGCAAAAGTCTATACTTCGGCCTTCAGTATGTGATCAGTGATGAGATCACGAAGAATGAGATACAGGTTTCACATACACACAGTCACACAAGTAGTGGAGTGGAGAAAGAACTTCACAAATGTTGCTTTCCAGCAAGAAGACACAAACAAACACAGTGTAAGGCACAGAATAGCTGTGTGAACCTGCTTGTTGGAATATCATTTAATTCATAGACTACGTTTACACGTACTGGTAAAACCGTTTTAATAAAAACCGTTTTAGATGTCTTTAGTACAAAACCGGACTTAGATGTCCTGTAAACGTTCCTTATACTGGAGGTCGATTCTGTATCACGCAGTGTAGTGAAAATTACAAAAGTGAGCAAATTTACTAAAATATCTATGATCTTATTGGTCAACAACTAGTAAATTTGCTCACTTTTGTAATTTTCACTACATTGCATGGATACAGAATCGACCTCCTGATGTTATTAAAACCGTTTTAGTAAAAACCAGACTTAGGTGTCCTGTGTTACACAGTGTCGCCTGTGTACGTAGCTGGAAAGCGCCCATAGTTAAGTCGATAGATCTTGTTTTTTTAAGATGTATATAATTGTATACATCTAATTAAGACGTATATAATTGTAGATTGATTAATTGTAGATCTTTAAGATGTATATAAATTGTATACATCTAATTAATATAATTGTATATATCTAATTAAGATGTATATAATTTGTATATAAAGCGCGGTCTATCGACTTTACTATGAATTAAATTATGTCAGCAATTGCTAAGCGCTGATTTCTGCTAAACAAAGTCATTCTTTACTTTTTGTTATTCTTTTGTCTTGGACTGTACTCGTATAAATTTCAACCAATCAGCGACGACGAGACAAAGACAGAGATCATGAAGTAAGAGTAAGGAGATCAAACTCCGTGATATAAAAGTGGTCCCGATTCTGACGTCTAATTGGGAGGAAATCCGCTCAAGAGAATAGTTTCTTACGGTTGGATGCCATTTGCAAAGTAACGTAACCTGACCTTGGCTGAGTTCCGTTTCACGCATATGCGCGCATTTATCTATAGTACACGTTACATATAGTATAGATAAATGCGCGCATATGCGTGAAACGGAACGCAGCTCTGTCAGTTTTTAGTTAGTATTACGCAGCAATTCTTTTTCTGACACTAAAATCACTTTCTGCTTCCACAAAACCAAAAAATGTGTCGTTTTCAGTTGTAAATCCCCAATTTGGAAAAGGCAGCTCAACTAAATGCAAATTTTTTTGCAAATACTTGAATTTATCTGCTGCTTGTTCCATTTCCATTGAATTTCTTTCCATTATACTCGTGAGCCTGAAAATGATAGTCTTTTTTACTATTAATTCCTCAATGTTACTTTTTTCCATTATTAACCTTTTTGTATGTCCGCGATATTTTGCGTATCTATAATTTTATTTTTAATTACCCAAAGCGTTATAACACGATGCACGTAAAACAGAAAACTTCTAAATCTTTTATCACTTTATTTTGTTGTATTGCTGAGAAATTTCTACATTAAAAGAAATCTCACGATTCGGAGCATAAATATAGTTACATATACTAAATGTGTACATGTGGTAGTTTTGCAAATGGCGTCCAACCGTAAGAAACTATTCCTTTGAGCGGATTCCTTCCCAATTAGGCGTCAAAATCGGGATCACTTTTTCTATTGGCGCGCTATGAAGTTTGATCTCCTTACTCTTACTTCATGACAGAGATCCTAGTTGTGATCATAGACTTATATAATAGACGAAACATTCGTGTAAGAGGAGCTGAAGCTTCGTTAAAAGAGACAGAAATAGTCATGGAATAGTTCTCTTCTTTTCTAGCAGTGAGTTGATTGGTGGCCGCGGCAGGCCGAGGGAGTGGCCGAGAGTAACAAAGATAGATGTCTGAGAGTCAGTTGAGAGAGAGTGATAATGAGAGATGATAGCATGCATGTAGCATGTATAGACTTGTTGAGAGACTTGGCAGGCACTAGCAATTAACACTAACAATTCGTAAATCTTTTTATAATTTAATTTACTTCATACTTCTATAGATTATCCAGTAAACAATTTGTTCGCAATTTGCCAGCAAATTGTCAGCAATTTTAAGCAAAAATATTCAACAAATTGGCATCAACTGTGTCCGCATTAGGCTTCAATTTTGTTGCCAAAACTTGTCGACAAAAAGTAATAGCAAATTGCTACCACAAACTGAGCAAAGCTTGATAACATAACTTGAGACCAAATTGACGCCAAATATGAAGCAAGATCTGCGCAACACGATTTGATAGCAAAAGTACATTTATAATATAAAAAAATGACTTAGATTCTTTATTTATATTCTTGAGTAAGTTTTCTTGGTTATTCTCTATGTTGTCTTAGTATTACCTTGTAGAAAAAATCCATTGTGTTAGAAATCATCTCGACTGGATTCGAACCGGGAACCTGGAACCCTCTGATTACCAAGCGGGAACTCTATCAATTTAGTCATTGAAACTTTCACAATCAATTACTTTAAAACTAATATGTTAATGGCATTCAGTGATATTGTTATTGATACTAAATAAAACTATTTGTTATTATGTAAATCAGCGAATTTTTAATTGTTTCCTAGTAAAACTAATCTGTTACTAACATCTAACTTTAAGAGAGGCATTTTTCACTGCAATTCAGTGATATTATCACTGAATCAATTAGTGAAATTTTAATTGATTTTATCAGGAGAATGCAGTTTGGCCATAATATTTCATCGCTTTTCATATCTGTTTAAAAAGATTCAATTATGTACTAATAAACGATAAATATCGCGTACATGCAGAATATAAGTTATATTTTTTGATAATATAGAAAAATTGTAAAATTATTTAAAATTAAATATTATACAGACAATTAATTGTTGTAAAAAGTATAAATATTAAAATATTTTACATAGATGTCATTTTAATATTTATATAATTATTGTCAGTTTAATATTTAAATGTAAACATACTTTTATATATATTA